AAATAACTAGTTAAGGAATTTACTCGTTGTATACGTCAAATTCTTATTCTTCGTCTGGATAAGATTTCACGCAAAATATCGTCGATTTTGCAAATGTCGGTGAAAGAGAAAGAAAGAGATGTTTTAAAATATAATTTAATTCTTCGTGATTTTTCATCGCGTATGGGATTAGAATTATTTCCAAAGCTGAAGAAATCAAATTATGCAAAGTCGCAGGAAGGAATACGAGTGTTTAGCGAACGTATAGACACGACGACTTTAGCAGACAAAGTCAGTGCACGATCGAGTTACGAGTTTCAAATGTCCGTTCATAGTCGTGCCTACCTCTAGTATTTCGCGACGCTCGCTCGAATTTCGTAAAAATGGTATTTGATGGTTCCTTTCACTTGCAGAGAGATAAAAAAATTAAAAAATATAAAAACACGTTAAAGAATACATTTTCAACCCTTAATTTGATTACGTTTTAAAAAAAAAAGTTAAAATCGATTGTTGTTCCTCTATATCGTTCAAAAAATATTCCGACAAATATTTTACAAGGAAGAGGTCATGTATAGTATTGTATATATTTTCATAATTCAATGCGGTAAAGACCGCGTTGAATACATGGACTAATTTCATTTTACAAAGAGAGCATTCGCACACAAACATCACAAATACAATTTTCGCAAAGTTCCGTACATTTTAAGCAGCCCTTTCTATATTTTGCGCTGAAAAGAGTTAACAACAGCGGACACGTAACGCGCGTGTCTGAATGCGGCGGAAACCGTGCGCAGGAAAGAGAAAGAGAAGTCGGGAATATTTTCTCACGACGATTCACAATTCACGCGATGCGCGGCACAAACGCGGGCAATGTCGCGGAGTGGTAAAATGGCGTAAAATAGTAGCACCGAGGAAAACGATGAAGGTCTCCGGCGAGAGAGGAGATCGAACGCGTAGCGGAAAAAGAAAGGAGAGCGGCGGAGAGAGCAGGAGGATTTGTCGAGTCCACGTTGGTTGTACGGAGAGGCGCCGAAAATTGGATACTGGTGGGGGTGATGGAGACCAGCCGCATAATGACAGGGTGCCTCGCGCCAAGGTCCCGCTAACGAACCGGCCCACGGAACCCAAAGGGTCCGGGCTAGGACACGACACTGTATTATTTTACCATTTCGGAGGTCGGGGGCATCATCAGAAATCATCGCCGAATCCATATAATCAGTAGACGGTTACGTGCAGCCATGATTTTTAAGAGCTGCACAGGGGGAGGATGAGAAACGTAGAGTGACGCAGGGAGAAGCGAGGGAAGTAGAAACCTAATAAGGCGAGTGGTGCCTCCACGTCATCTCCTTGTCCTCGGCATT